TTACAAAACGAATTTACAAGAAGTAATATATTTACCTAAAGCATTGAGACAAGATATTATAAATCAAGTGCATGTCGAAATGGGTCATCAAGGACCCTATAAGGTAATTAAATATGTGAGAGACAGATTCTTTTGGAAAGGTTTAACAAAAGATATTAAAAACCAATTAAGGGCTTGTCATTTATGTCAGTTATCTAAGAAAAGCAATATAACATATGTGGGTCCCTGCAAATCTATAATAACAGAAAACATTGGCGATATAGTCATGGCAGACTTATATGGACCACTTGTATCAGGTACCTTTGGGTACACTTTCATATTTGTCATTCAAGATTCATTCAGTAAATTTATCAAATTATATCCTTTAAAACAGTCAACAGCAAAGTCTGTTGTAACAAAAGTAAAGCATTTTGTTGAGATTATAAAGCCCAAGGCAATAATGACAGATAATGGAAAACAGTTCGTAAGTAATCACTGGAAACAATCAATGAGTGAATTAAATATAAAGCCAATATATACCACAGTTAGAAATCCTAGACCAAATACAACAGAGCGAGTAAATAAAGAGTTGAGCAGATTATTTAGGACGCTTTGTCAGACTAACCACAAAGATTGGGCGTTAATATTGCCGAAATTAGAAGAATTGTATAATAATTCTTATCACAATAGTACAGGCTTCACGCCTTGTGAGATTCTTTATGGTGAGTCTAATGAGATGTCTTTTGACAAAGTAATTTCCAAAAGTAAAGACAAACATAATGTCGAACAAATTAGACAACAAGTGCGTAAAAATTTAAAAGAGGCAAGTCGAATAAGAAACACAAAATTTGATAAGCGAAATAGATTAATAAAATATAATATTGGTGACTTAGTAAAAATTTCAAGATATAGTAGATCAGACGCTGATAATAAAGTTATGAGTAAGTTTAATTTGGCATATGAAGGACCTTATGTAATAGCAGCCGTACCATTTGACAATGTATATACCTTAGCAAATCCAGAGACAAACGAAATTAGAGGAATTTTGAATGCTATTCACTTATTAAAATATTTTAAATAATAATTTCTTTTTGTATAAATTAGAGTAATTAAATAAATATTGTAACATAAAAGGGTTTTGTGGGTGGCCCATGGAAATAATTGTTTAAGTTAAAGGTCTAAAATTATTAAAGTTATGAGCAAGAGATTTGTTATATGATAGTAGAACGTTATTAATATATAATGAAGAGTTGTAAATATAGATCGTAAGATAATTTTGTAATCATTTTTATTAAATAAATATGGGAGTTGGGTCAGGGCGAATGGCTCAAACACATTTATCCTATGTGGTATCGAACTGACCTCAACAAATATCAAACTGGATTGTATGCACATAAAGTGTGACACTATCGAAATAATGTTTCAAAGATTTAAAGATAAATTAATAAAATAAGAAATCGACAATTGACTGCAAACTTTATTAACAACACGATATACAATAACTTAAATTATGGTGTTATCACATTGTGATAATTGTGGTTGAAGGGGTGTTGGTGGCGGCCATTCCCTGGGGCAAGGGGATTTGATAACATATGCCGTATTGTAACAGATTAAAAGAGGAAAGAACAGATATATAAACAATTATTTGAGTGTAGTGTATATGCTCTCAAAATACTAAAATTTTATATTAACGACTCCACTATGTGGATCATTAACATAAAATTTGGGGGTGGATTGTGACGCCTCATAATTATTATTAATAAATAATAATTAAATTCATTATACAGACATTTAAAAATGTCATAGAAATTATAATTTAAACAATAAAATGCAAATAATAAGCATAGAGTTCAAAAATATCCATTTGGAATATTGAATATTATATATATTAGTAAACGCATAAAATGTTACAAAAAATCTCTAAATTTATTAAAAACCTGCTTAAAATGTTCAAAATATATCAAATCATATAAATACAAGGCGATTATATTGCAATAACAAAGATAAATAACATTTGTAATATAATAGAAAAAATGGATTAAAATTTTCTAAGTTGATGAAGGAGTTCGTGTAATAATTGGAAAATTTCTAAGTTAATGAACGTGTTCTTGTAATGTACCCTTATATTGGGGCGTTGTCGGAGACACATACCCAAGGTTGTACATATATATGGGGTGGTCGGCTGACCGACTGCTAGTACTAAGGTTGCACAATGACTAGTCCTATATTAGGGACTTAACATAGTAAGGTCTGACGAACCAAAGCATTAATATAGAAGGTCTCTATGATGCATAAGCATTATGATAGCAGAGTTATGACTTGAAGTCCCATATGAATAAGACATACAGTAGTATGGTCTATGAAATAAAGCAAATATGTGGAAGGTCTCAAATATGTAAAAGCATTATATTGAAAGAAATGGGACTTGAAAAGGATTATTATAGTGGCGTGTAGGTTGCTTCGCAGCCTCTGAGACCGAGGTAAACTTGGACTCACTAACCGATGTGTCCTAGACATATCATCTTAGTGCCGGTGGTAAGCGGGTTTGTTGTAGCAATACGACTTGCCCGTGGACATCGCACACCCCTACCGGTTGTGGGCGGCGTCTTAGCGCATAGCGTTATGATACGTCGGCTATCTTTCGGATTAGGGTGAGTGTGTTTGGTAGTACTTTTAAGTGCAGCAAGCATACTCAACTTCATGTCTTAGTGCAATAGCGCTATGATACGTGGAGTTTTGGCTACTTACGTCTTAGTACCGTACTACTATGATACGTTGGTGGTATTTTTAGTTAACAACATTATCAAATTTTGTTACCAAAGTCGATAGGGATCATGTGGGTGTGTTGTGAGGGGGCGCCATCCGTATGATAGTTGCATTGATGCTTACTGCTACTTGCAGTATTGTGTCTTGTGATGGATCTGCGGGTGTGCTGCACCTGATTCGATGCATCTTGTGGTTCTGGTCGATGGAGGTATGCGGGTGGTGATGTCTGCTGGGACTGTATGGGGGACCTTGGGATGGTGTAAGCCCGACGATAGTCGTATTGATGCTTGTTGCATTCTGTAGCATTGCGTCTCTACGATGGTTGTTTGGCGGGTCGCTATTCTCAATGGCGCTCTCTGCGTCTTGGTTTGACTCACAACCTAAGTAGCTTTGCCCAAGTCGGGTCCCTTCATTGCGGGGCTGCAGACTGTCTGCCCTCCATGATGTTTTATATAACAACTTAATAATATATCTCTATAAAGTTCCCACCTTTGAGAGATTGAAGGCAACTTGTTGGTGGGTGAGACAAACATGATCGAAAAATGCATATACTCAACGTCAGTGACACAAACCCTTTCTGATGGCGAATTATTAATATTATCTTATAACTGCCTATTGGCTATATCTGCCATTGTATTGGTTGGTGGAGCATATGTGTTGACCTCATGCGGGTGGTAGCTGGAGGGAGAATCTGAGGAGGCTCTCAAGGCTGCGGCCGAAAGCCGCGCAACGTGGGACCCCATTCCTTTGAGGTGAGCGGTAGACTCATGACACGCTCTGCGGCCAATTGGCCGTGCTGACCATGCAATTGGTGGTGATGCCTTACACTTACATCACGTCTGCAGGAACGGCGGTCTGGCAGGTGGTGGCGCTCACGGAAGGCTTTTTATGGTCAGTGTGCCTATTGTTGCCTAACCCGTGTGACGTACATTCACTGTGACTGGATTTGATCGTATTCTGTATGGCGTTTACACGCATTGACATGCGCGACTTCGGTCGATGTTTGTGCTTACGCACTATCAAGGGGCCAAGTCCTCTTTTACTGGTTCGCCAGTTATTTTGCTGTGGACTACGGTCCAGTTCCCAACTTTGCGTACCCTTCGGGGGGAGCGCATTAAAATGGTTGGCGCTCACCGTGCGCGGCGTGTGTGGGGCCGTGTACCTCCTCCACATTTTTTTTAAAATGTGGGAGAGCGAAGCCCTTGTAACTGGTATTTGATATAAATATTGTGAGCCTTTTCCAAGCGGGAAGGGATTAATTAATAAGGAATTGACTGTTGTGAACCAGATACAAGTGGAATAGGGACAATTTATTGTTCTTAACCTTTTTGAGCTCTGTCTTAGTGAACGGGGTTCTCTAGCTTATAAGACTCTACCAACAGCTTTCGATTGCTCTCGTGAATATTCATTCTTCCAAGATACACCTAAAAGAACTAAGTTACTATACAAACATAACGTAAAGAGGGGTCCTAACTAAGACGATCACGCCATAAATTTAAACGGCCTATATTTAAACCTTTAGAAAGATCAAGTTATACTGGTCACGTAAATTTGATATATTTATATATCTTACAGATATAGATTCTAAAGAAATACAAATATAAGTGGGATATAGTAGAAAAGAAAAAAGATGGGGGGGGGGGTTCGTTACAATATCAAAAAAACTAGTAAGAAACAATATTTTAAAAGACTAGTTAGAGAATTCTTTAACAGGAATAATGCCATCTGATTTATCCGATTTTCGTTTTTCTCCCTCTTTCGCTTTGTAATTGATATTTTGTATAATATGTAATTTTATATGCATCATGTTATTTTATTTTTGTGTTATATTATTTTATATTTATTTAGTGATTATATTCGTTTATATATTTACTATTTTTTTTTCTTCATTACTAGGTAGATAATATTAAGTTTGTATAGTTTAAAAATATTTTATTTATTTGCTTTTTGTTATAACATATAACGTTTTTACTTATTTCTTAATTTATGGAGTGGTGTTGCACCTACCACAGCTTCTCAAATCATTCAGGGTAGACTGGTAGATAATGCCACAAGGCATGAGTCCGCCCTTTATATCCCTTATTATAAGGTAGATGTAAAAAAGAATATATAAATAAATACTTCAAGGGTGGTCCCATATATTTGGGGAAAAAATTCCAACCCTAAAGGTAGCAAATAAATAACTTCTTTTATAGCGATTTGAAGTCGGTTTTCACTTTTTGTTAAAAGTTATAATTATATCTAAATATAAACAGGAAACTAACGTAATAGTGACTAGCGAAGCACCGGAATTAGAAAACGAGCATCTTCCGCCGGCATCGCCCCTTGTCTCTGCTAAATCTCATAACAAACAACGGAGTGCAGCGCGAACAGCTACCCTTCCCCAACGACCAATTGACGTTATTACCCTGGATCCAAAATCTGAAGTCAATCCCGATGCTCCTGAAAACGCGTTTAGTAGTGGCACCAGGGTACGTATTTATGAAAGTTGCCTTTTACACTGCACTTACATTAAATTGATTCTTGTTTATTCTTAAACTAAAGCAATTTCATATCGAAATATCGTTGATAGGACGAACATGGTCAGTCAATGCTGCACTTCGCAGCGGCGCGTACCCACGCCAACAACGCGCTGTTCCAACTGCTCCAGGAATCTGACGTGAGTCTGGGCTACCGGGACGAACTCTATCGTACTGCAAGGGATGTCTCGATACAAGCAAATGTACCGGAGAATACAGTGGAGATTGACAAATTTGTATTGCACTTAGCTGCAAGAGGTTAATTTCATATCAAAGTATTTCCTATTTAGAAAACATTAATTAATATAATATATAGGTAGGTATATTACATTTAGACATAACTTGTTTGATGAGGATAAATACCAGTGCATGTGTGCCAGTGCTTGTACTAGCTACTGTGCTTAACTACTACCTGATGATAAGAGATGATGCTGCCGAGGATGGTAAAGCCCATTGACTAGCTTAACAAAAGACTGGAGGACCCTGGAGGGAAGCCTGGAGAGGATAGAAGCTCTTGCCTTAAAGACATCCCCATTGTAATCAGATGTAAAAAAAGTTGCTGGCAAATTATTCCACCCATTTTCTATACGCATGACGAACGATGAAGCAAAACATTTCGTTTGAATGCGTGGTAAGTCGATGACGAAAGATTGGGCACTGGCCGATCGTCTGCTTGTCCGATCGTGAAAGGGAGAGGGAAATATTAAGTTATGCAAGAAGCCTAGAAGTATAATTGTCGGTCTCTTGAATTTTATTTTTCATATATTATTTACTTCCCATTGCAGCCCATATTACAATTATGACCACATTTCTTTTTTTAAATGTCAATAATTATACGAATATCTGTTTATAATTTATTATATAAACATAATAAAATACATAAATAACATACTAGGTACATACTAGGTACACTTACACTTCGCTTACCGGTACGAGGCTGCCACTCGATAACTCTCCACCAGTTAAGGTGGCTACTGACATGCCTGCCGCAGGGGCATTCTAGGGAGCACAGCGATTGGGGCAATATCGGAGCTGTACACACACGCCTGCCGTTCAGTATAAGAGTGTACGTCTCGCTAGACGCACGCGTTGAGAATGGCGCCAGTTTTATCGAAATATCAATGAATCGGTATATATAGCCCTTTTTTATATAGAATAAGGGTGACAAATGAGCACAGTCCACCTGATGGTAAGTGGACACTGTGGCCCATAGACACCCACATTTATCAATAAAACAACTAATTTTTTTTCTTTAAAAAAAGAACGCTACCCCCATACTAGGATTTTCTCCTGTGTCGTGGAGCCAGTTTACAAACATAAATTGTACAAGGACAAACATCCAGACCCGGAACAGTTATTTCTAGGTCATACAAATACTTGTTCCGTGCGGAATTCGAACCCACGGCCCCCAGGCTACAACTCATTGCTAAGGCACTGCGGCACGGAGCCATCTAAAATTAAAAAAAAAATTAAAAAGTCAAAAATTTATTAATAATTACAACCATAATTAGTGCTTATAAGCTGCAGCATAGCTCTCCCACGCTATTTTTAGGCTATCAAAGACAATTAAATGTGACTACACTCGTCATAAATTATGTCATATATATATGTATATGTATATATTAAATTAAATTATGACTCATCTTTATATATAAAAATTACGCGTCACGTTGTTTGTCCGCGATGGACTCCTACTACTGAACTGATTTCAATTAAATTTTTCACACTGTGTGCATTTTGGTCCAACTTGAGAGATAGGATAGTTTTTATCCCGCTAAATGACCCTCAAATTTTTTTATTGCGAATTTAAGGATTTTTATAGGAAGGGTCGTCGGAAAGGGCAGAACAACGTTAGCCTGGCGAGCTAGTAATTTAATATAATCAATTTATTCTGTGATATAACTTAACTAGCTAGTGCTTAGTAACTATAATTTAAATAGTGTTACAAACAGCCAGGATAGTTTTCTAATGATGAGTTTTAATAAATTTAATTACTAAAATTTGTATTTTTCTTTAATTATTTAGTTAATGTCATTTTATTTATATTCCAGCAACTATAATACTATTGGAATATTTTCTTTCGCATACTAGTCCTTATGATAAGTTAGGTAACAAATCCCAGTAATGTTACTTGTAAGTTACAACGTTCAAATAACATTCTTTCTGCGGTTGTGACTTGTAATCATACGTGTGCTCCGAGCGAAAGTCGCAACGAAGTGATTGAAATTGCCCCAATTGCGCTACGTACGTGACAGCGGCAGGTTTTTATCGGTTTTTAGAGTTAAGACGGCTACTCACATGCCTGCCGCAGGGGCAATCTAGGGTGTAGGAGTGGGGATGACCCTTAATTGCCTCCCTTAATTGTGATGTGTGTAGACAAGCAGGGGCAATTTTCTAAGTCGGCCCTGCGGCAGGGCGGCAGGGGCGCAAGACCTTCCTTGCTCCCTAGATCGGCCCTGTCGCTGTTGTTATAATCGTTAGTGCGTCTGTTAGTGATTGTAACTTTTTAACGACTTGATTGAATAAGGTCACATTCAGACAAAATACCTAATTGCTTTGTCGAGACAATTGTTAATAACTATGCTTCGAGCCAATAAGTGGAGCTGTAAGCCAGTTATTAATTAATTCTATATTTATGGACCAAAATTATTTATAATCACAAATGTTGACTTAGTGACAACTATAATATTACAAAATATAAACTCGGATTAAAACTAAAGAACTTTATCATCTAAGTTAAATCCAATTAATATTTTCCCAATCTCAACTAAAACACTAAATGTAATTAAGGAAAACACATCGCGTCACAAGGAGCAGAAAATCTGCAGTCTCGGACCAGCTAATACGAATATAATATAATACATGATTCAATTTATTTTTCACAGGGAAAAGTGAGAAAATTATGGAATTATTATTGCAAGGATACGACCATATAATAGACATTGTGGATTCAGATGGAACATCCATTACGGAAATTGTTTCACAGCGAGGTGACACGGAAATGAGTGATCTGCTAGCATCGATACCGGAATTTGAAGTAATATATTATATTGCTACTATTAATAGGGTTAAATTATAGTGATTTCTTATATTCACGCAAAGACTACACATTAAATGAAACTAATTTGACTGGGGCGTTTACGATTTTGAGGGATTTGGCGTCCCCCCCCCCCCCCCCCCCGTGACCATGGGTGCTGTAAGGCACCCGAAACGTCGGGAATTAAAAAGTTAAATTAAACGCGAAAAAATTAGTTTCATTTAATGAATTTATAGTTATACACATAGATTAGTGTATATATACTAGAGAGTTATACAATTAAGAATTGCTAATTAGTTTATCGCCTGCGCAAGTCTTGCTTTCAGTCATGGTTAAAGGTCATACCCGTGGTTAAGTGGCTAAAACACCACCTGGCCTAGTGTTAAAAGACCTGGCGAATTCATCGCATTTCCTGGATTTGTTTCCCAATATATTTCATACATAATTAGTAAAAACACAAATGGTTATCGTGTCTGAGTGTGTTTTGAGTAATCACTTCGGACAAGCTAAGAAGAGTGAAAGCACTATATATCTGCAGCATATTTTAATTCTGAAAGTCAAAGTGAAATTCGAAATCGGTCACAGGGGAATCATCGTGATAATCATCATTCACATAGAGTAAAAACAAAAAAGCAACAACATAACAAACACTTCCTTACTTTATTAACCAGTTAAAAATGCTAAAAGAGCACTACAGTTAACTTAGCAGCGTAAAATTGACAGCCTTCCAGAATAATTAAGATTCTAAAATAAATATACTAATTTTTTTATAAAATCCTATGGATCTGAATGAAAGGGGTAGTAGGAGAATAATATAGAACAGTGTTATTAATTTATAAAGGAGTCGAGAGAGGCCCTGCACGTGGCGGTGCGGCGCGGCGACGTGGGGCGCGTGCGCGACGTGCTGGCGGCGGCGGCCGGGCGCACGGTGGCGCGCGCGCACAGCGCCTTCGGCAGGACGGCGCTGCACGTCGCCGTGCTGGCGCAGCACGAACACGTCGTTGAATATTTAGCTGAAACGTGTCCCGAGCTGCTACGCATCGGGGACAATGTAAGAGATACTGACTTTTTCTTGTATACATTAAATTTAAAAAAAAAACGACCATACTGTCTACTTAATAGTTAGTGGATGCTACGAGTATGGTACGGTAACCCTCGAATCCGGCAACTTGTTCTATCACCGGCAGCGCGATCATCTGTCCCAAGGAGGTTTCGGATTTATGGTCCACAAGTCTCTCGTTAACAACGTTGTAAATATTGTGAGTGTGTCCACGAAGGTTGCGTACCTCGGAAACAGCAAACGGTATTCGTTGAAGGTCATACAGGTTTACTCACCTACCTTGGTACATATCGATGAGGAAATGGAGGAAATGTATCAGGATATCTTTAAAGCCATGCATTCTTCCAAAACCCAAAATACGGTGTTAATGGGCGACTTCAACGCAAAACTAGGTACAAGAGAGAACGGTTAGCTAAATGTAGGGAATTTCAAAATAGGGCAACGGAAGTCAAGGAGCCAGCCGCAGGCCGACTTCATGGAGAAAAAGGGACTCTTTATGATGAACTCTTTTTTCTAGAAGCGGCCGCATAGGAAGTGGACCTAGTCGAGTCCCGACGGTTCGAAAAAAATAAGATTGCCTTCATACAAAGCCATTATTCCTAAGTCCCAAAAACTGTCAGTTAGAGTTACAAAACCGTTTTCAGTGCCTAAAAGACTGCAATGCGGGTACGGAATGGCTCGATAAGAGGCAACTGGCCATGCGGTCGGAGCTGAGTTCTGCAAGATCCATCGCAGAAGAACACAAAAACTCTCCAATCACACTCTTAATCTCATGGTTGTTCAAACAAACAGATCTACAAATGCGTCGGGACTTACGCAACTTCAATACAACTCGTATTGAAGAAGCAATTGAGCAGAACTAGGGCTCTAAATTTCTTGCCCGAGATATGTCTGCTAGAAAGCGCCAAATGTTGAAGCTGAAGATCGAGTGTGGCAGCATCGTTTCCGGGACACTTGAGATTTTGAGTGAGATTGACAGGTTCTATTTCTATGATCAGCTGTACACATCATCGTTGGAGACACACGTAAGTGTATGTAACGAACCAAGAGCAAGTCTTACCCGAAACTATTTCGATAATATTTAGTACCATAGACCACATACATACCCTTCGGCCAATTGTACAGAAGACCGAATAGTACCATCTGCCACTTTGCCTTACGTATGTGGACTATGAGAAAGCCTTTGATTCTGTCGAAATTTGGGCGGTGCTACAATTCTTTTAGCGGTGCCAAGTTGACTGTCGGTATATCGAAGTGCTGAAGTGTTTGTACAGTAGAGCTACGATGGCTATCCGAGTACAGAATCAGAGTACGAAACCTATCCAACTGCAGAGAGGCGTAAGACAGGGTGACGTTGTATCCCTGAAGCTCTTCACCGCTGCATTGGAAGACGTTTTCAAGCTACTGAACCGAAAAGGATACGGTATTAACATCAATGACAAGTACATCACTACCGACGATATAGTCCTTATAGCAGAATAACTAGAGGACCTAAGTACTGTGCTCAGTGACCTCAATAGTGTCTCGAACGGATAGGTCTTTAGATGAACATGGACAAAACAAAGGTCATGTGTAACGTCCATGTCATACCTATGCCAGTAGTTGTTGGGAGCACTACGCTCGAAGATGTTGATGAGAATGTTTACCTGGGACAGATGGTCCGGTCTAGACAACTAGGTTGGGCAAATTTCGGCAAATTACGACAAATCTTCTTGTCAAATATACCACAAAACTTGAAAACGAGATCGTACAACCAGTGCGTGTTACCATTGATGACTTATGGATCTGAGACGCCGTCCTTCACTGCTGGCCGTATGAGGAAGCTCAAGGTCGCTCAGCGAGCTATGGAGAGGGTTTCTCTACGTGATAAACTTAGAAGTGAGGATATGCGCAGTCGAACCAGTTGACCGATATAGCCCAACGGATTAGTAAGCTGAAGAGGCAATAGACCGGCCATATAGCTCGAAGAACCGACAACCGATGGGGAAAAAAGGTTCTCGAGTGGCAGCCTAGTACCAGCAGGCGAAGTGTAGGGCGTCCCCCCACTAGATGGTGTGACAGCCTGGTGGACATGCAAGGAGTCGATGGATCCAGGTGGCTCAGGACCGTGCTTTGTGGCATTACTTGGGAGGCCTATGTTTAGCAGTGGACTTGTGAAGGGCAGTGGATTGTAATGATGATGATGATGATGATGACTGGTATCAACCTATGTTTAACTTGCTTTATTTGAAGGACTTACCACCAGTTCGACTTTTAGTTTGTTTTCCATTAATGTCATATAAAGAAATGGCAACAAACTGATGTCATAAAATCAATTTATTATTGAAAATGCCACTCAAAATTCATCAAGAAGTTCTTTCTACTCCTATATATTCAGCAGTACATGAACACATCAAATTATGATCAAAGTATGATTGTGTGTTTTAGTTTGTATTCCAACCGGAACCAATATGTTCGGCAAAAACAAGTTAGAGTGATTAGTCTTCTAGACTCTTAAGACACTAGTTTGTGCCTACCTCCGATTAAATCATATTAACTTAGCGTTAATATTTAAGACGCCATAAAATTTCCTATAAGGAATTTCTGCTTCTTTAAACGGTAAATAAGGATGGAAACAGTGTAATAAGTCATTTTCATACATAGATACTTGCTTAAAAAGTTTACGTTATTTTATTACGTTTCAGCTGGAGCGCACACCTCTACACTATGCAATGGGAGTTGAGAAGATAGAATCTCTAAGCAGAATACTAATCCGAGCTGGCTCAAAACGGGTATTAAAGGACCTGAAGGGGCGTCAACCTTCCTACTACTTTATGAATAAGTCAGATATACTGCGGCTAAAGGAAGAAGAGGAGGCGTATTAATAATAACGTCACTATTTAACAATGACATGTACTGAGAACAGGATACCCAGTTTGGGTAAAAGGCTACTTCAATAGAAACTACTGAAAGCACTAAGATATGGGTGTGATCTATAGATACACTTATAAGTAAGACGGAAAGTTGGGTGGAAGGCACCTACTAAACGTTCTCATTCTCTTATGATATGAGGTCTATAGTTAGAGTATAATACTAGAAAACAACACTTCACACATCTAGTTACTCCCAGCCACCTAGTCCAGTTGTTCCATCTAGCTACGCCCCACTTTACGTTACTTCTGCGTCTGTTACTGCGACTAATTTGACCTGTGACAACACCCTATCGTCACTTCGGTCTACGGCTAATGTTGGCAAATAAAAAGTTTACCCTAGACACCTATTTTCACCTATAGTCGCCGTGACTTATCTCGATGCCTAATCATTCTCGTCTCGTCAAATATATAAACTAAGGTCTCAGTGAAGAGGTTCGGTGGAGCAGGTTCCTCGGGGTGCTCAATTTTCGGCAATGTAAGTGCTGTTAGCCAGTTGGCTTTTACGGTTTTCTTGTAGTGCAATGTCCTGAGTGACGGCCACTCCAATGCACAATACGTGCTGCTACACTACACGCCCCCTCCCTCCCTCAAACGCTCTCCACACAGACCTTAGACATAGGTTCACCCTTAGATAATAATAAACGACTAAACAAATGACATTCATTGCAATTTTTAAGTGCTGATATAACAAGAATCTCAGGCATGCATCGTGACAAACTGCACGTCGATAAATTTAAAAAAGACGCGAAGTTTTCCAATAAACATTAGGACAACGCGGTGGTCTCTTACTTGCCCTGCCCTGAAAACACTTTTAGAAATGTGAAGAGGCCTGTGTCCAAGAATTGAACGTAATATATAGGCTGTAACTTTACATTATTACAAAAAGGACTACACATATTTTTAAATTAAATATAAATATTTTAATATTGACAGACGCAAGATTCGATTTAGAACCGACTTTTCGATCAGCAGATCAATTGTTTCTTTCAATTAGGTTGTAATTTATATGATGGATGATTTTCATCTGACGATTGAAAAAATCGGCCTTTTAATTAGTTAATTTAACGACTAACCTTTTAGTTATACACTGGAAATCAAATGCATGCCCAAAGTCTAGTCAGACGCTTAAAATGTAATAAAACCATTCTGATTTGTAAAGATCCCTGAAAATGGGTATACAATTCAACACCAATCACGCTCACTTTAAGGTATTCCAACATAAAAATAAGTGACATACTTATTTCATAAATTCTTTCTCTTCGTTTCTCGATCCAATTCAATTTAAATAACATAATAATATATTTACAACAATAGTGACCAAAATAATCATTAAATAATCCTGCTAATCACGATATACTTGCAAAGATACTGGCTACCTTTCCTCGCTGATTTGCTTTAGGTACATAGCCTATGAGTCTAGTGGTCGTCGGCTGCAAAACAGATTCAGTTCATTTAGATACTTAATCGCACGTAAACCCTATGGCCTAATAATCTCTGCAGGAAACCTTACAATTACATAACCATCACACAAAGAGCAAAGACTCATATTTGCGCCATTTAGTCAGTCCTCCCGCCTTTGATTCCGCCCCAAACCTAACATATTATATACACGCGGCGTCACACACAGGGGCATTTTCTTTGATCCAATGGACCTAAGGCACATCGACGACTAATTTGCCATATTTTCTAAAAAAACAAAACTGTAAAACAAAGGGATCATTTATCGAGAGTAGAGCTAGAACTTTTCAAGTAATGTGGTTCGACGGGAATGACGTGGAACGACGGGAGATCCTGTCAGCACTTTTCTTACATTTTGAAATCCGCCAAGACTGAGCACAATGATGCTACTGCCGCATGGACACTAATATGCTTAACAGATCGCTGCTTCTGGTTGGATCTCTACGGCTGTGTGCTGGTTTTCACAATTAAGTAATATGCCAAGATTACTTTATGGTAAATCGTGTAACCAATGATTTAATCAAACTGATTTTTTTATATTTTGTTAGCTTCCTGTTGGTGTACATTAGCTCGGAATGGCAAAGGCAATAAAAATATATAGTGCACCTAACATATTAAATTGATGTTTGATTAAATAAAATTTTATGTTTGTATAGACTTCGTTGCAACGTTTTATAAGACTATTACGTAAAATGTGTCATACTTAATGAATGACATGTGTGATCGAACTTGCTTTGAGACACATCAGAACTAGATGCCGGATGATACGAGTATGTGCCATAATAATAAATTATAAATCACGCTAAATGTAATATTTCGAGAAGACATATCACTTCACAAGGCATTCTTTCCAAGCTCGTAATAAATCTTTTCAACATATTTATTTTTATTGCAAGTATTTTTAATTATGATTGTTGTTAAATTTTTGATAGCGGAATGGTCGTAGAGTATACTTGAAATCATAGAAAATGTAATATCTGACACTAATGTAGATTTATAATGCACTGTTTATGTTCTATGATGATAAAAAGGGCCTTATGTGCACGTTAGTATAATAATGATATCAAATTCAAACTGTGTGTGGAAACCTATAGTTTGTTATGCTGTAAAATAAAACCTAATTTCAAATGTTTTTTTATTGGTCAGTGACAATTTGAAATACCTAGTGATAACTTATTGTATAACAATGGTACTTAAGAAAGATTTTTCTACAACAATTATATTTTAATGTAAATTTGTAGGGACCCTTTGTTTATAGATACTAAGTAATAAAACAGCAACTTCACAATAACGGACTTGTTTTATTTTATCTTTACATATTGTAAATGTAACTATTACAAAAAGTAGATTAAATTAAAATAGGAATTATTATAAAATGGATTTTTCAAATTGCAAAAATCTCTAAAATTACGCATACGTATTCGATTACAACACAATAATGATTTTGACAGTAAACGACAAAAAAATCTTCGAAACGCATCGCAGACATTCTGACCTTCTCTCTTCATATGGTAGATTGCCAAGGAACGGGGTTTATGTACATTTGTGACACCGACCCACGCATACCTTTATATACAAATGGTTTATTATGTTACACTACATAATTACGGTATTCTGGATATTCTTAATTACATTATTTATTATAAATTATATATTATTATAACTAATACCTAGTTGCTCTGTAAACTTATGTATTCTGATAAAGTAAAACATTTGCGTTTTTATAGCTTGGCTAGACGCCAAACAAAACTAGATACTGCTGTTTTCCGAAACACCTTATTTAATGGGTAGTATGGAGAGTAAATATAACTACGACTAGACTGTGAGGTATTCCCTTGCAGTCCGCAGAAATAAAGGAAGAAATAAGAAAGGATTTTGCAAAAATTAACCCATAAAAGGGTGAAATAGTTTGTATGAAACTTTGCATCTATTTTACGGGACTATTGACTAGAAACTTTTTTTATATAGAATGCCACCTGATGGTAAGTGGTTGCTGTGGCCCATGGACATCTACATCTATCCTCGATTACGAATCAAAATGCAGATGCGTTGTCACCCGTGAGAACTAAGATGGAATGCAATCTTTTCCAGTAACAAGGGTTTCTGGTTCTCTACACTCACCATACGAAACACAGCAGATTCTGTCAGAGCGTGGTCCTTCCCCGGTGGAGCCGACCCATACGTGCTACAACTACAACAGTAATATAGCTGCAGCATGGCTCTACCAAGTATAAACTTAGTAAAAGTACTCAGTAAATAACATAAATGAATACGCATTTTGCGATTCTTAAGAAAAATCCCTAACGGGTGGGCTAGAGGCGTTTTTAAATTTGAATAGTTATTTATGTAAAAAATATTAAATATAAAAAATATTAAGTTTTTTTGAAACGAAGTTCCTTATCGTACGGTACGAATTTGGCGGATGGGGGCTAGGCGAGAAAAACTGTAAAATTTTTCCGTCACGAACCCCTTTCTATTATGCGAGTGAGATGGAATAATATTTATTTATTTATTCTTTATTGTGTTACACCTTAATCTAAGGATTACAATGGGCGGACTTAATACCATATGGCATTCTCTACCAGTCAACCCTGAGAGAATTAAACAAGTAAAAGTTGGTAGGTGTCAAAAAATGCTAAAATTATTAAATAAAACATATATTGTATATAAACATAAAATACGTCATGAAATACGCATACGTTCTAATATTACATATATAAAAATAATATAAATTATGAAAATATTAAATAATAATATATATTATAATAAATAATATAATAAATATTGTATATATAATATATAAAATAACTAAAAATAAAAATAGAAATCGACATTTAAAACGACATTTTAAGATAATGTTGTCGGACCTGCCTATTAAACGCGTGCTTATTCGGTGCTTTTCTTAAATCAAAGGGCAGGGCGTTCCAGAGAAGTATTGCCTGAACTGTAAATGAGGAATTAAAGAATTATGCTGAGGTACATGAAGCTTAAGGACGTTAGTGGAACGAGATTCACGCTCAAGAGTTGAATACCGAAAGTGGAAGTTATCTTTAAGTTAAGAAGGAGACGTAGGATCATTTAATATAGAAAAAAGGGTTAGTAAGACTCTGGAGCAACGCCTCTGACGAATAGAAAGCCATTTAAGCTTGGAACGAAAAGCAGTGATGTGGTCGTATTTTCGTAAGTTGAAGATAAATCTTATACAGTTGTTGAGAAGGCTCTCCAACTTGTTAAGAAGATTTTGCGATAGGTCTGGATAGCACACATCTGCATTATCTATAATAGGGGAATTAACCAGCAAAAGCTTGGTTTTAAAGGGTAGGAAATTTTTAAAACGATAAAGCGAACGTAGAGTGGTAACAACTTTACGGCTAATTTCCGAGATCTGTACTCGCCAGTTCATAGAGTGATCTATGTGCATACCCAAACTAACTATGGAATCAGAAAATGGAATTGAAATTCCATGGTACAAAACTGGTTCAAGGTTTACATGGTCAATCATATTCAGCATTCTGGAGCTACCAACGACCATAGTTTTACATTTTGAAGGATTTACTGAAATACCAAATTTATTTGACCAGCCACGGATGGCCTCTAAGTTTGTGTTTAATTTCCTGATTCCATTATTTATATCATCGATACTGCATTGTACATATAGCTGAAAATCATCAGCATACAGCTGGTACGAGCAACTGATATCATTAGATACTGAGTTTATAAATAGCGAAAACAATATGGGAGATAATATACCGCCTTGCGGTACGCCAGTTTTAACGTCAGCCCAAGCAGAAAACTGCTCCCCTGACCTAACCAGCTTCTGACAATCGCGAAGATAGAATGAGAACCACTCCAAGGCTGGAGATAAGAATCTGAGATAAGTAAAATGGATAGGAGGATATCGTGGTTGACTGTGTTAAAAGCATTTGAAAAGTCAACAAGCGCCACCGCTGTAACTTTTCGTTCATCCATCCCTTTTCTGATGTCATCCGTGATCTTAATCAATGCAGTGGTGGTACTGTGACCAGAGCGAAACCCTGACTGACAGATATCCAGTAGGTTATATTTTTTTATGAAAATAGATAACTGCTTATGTACACAGGCTTCCAAAACTTTAGAGAGATATGGAAGAATAGAAATTGGACGATAGTGATTAGGTAGTTCAGGATTAGGTATTTTTTGGAGAGGGCGTATATGAGCTCTTTTCCATAATGTTGGATACTGACCTGAGTCCAGAGAGTAATTAATGACATGTGTGATAGCTGGCAGAAAGAAGTCAAGCAATGTAATAATCATAAATTTACTAATCTCATCACAACCTACCGCCTTGAAGTTAATAGCTAATACAGCTTTAGCTATTTCATCTTGAGTTACAGAAGAAAATTCAAAAAAAGGAATACTCAGAGGTTGCATAGAAGCAATAGAAGCAATGGTTTGTGATTTAACAGAAGGGTCCAATGTAGGAGTTGAGACAAAATGACGATTTATATCATCCAGATTAAGAGAACTATTATCAGATGACAGTGGCTTAGTAATGCCAAGAGATTTTAAGAATTTCCACATATCAGCGGTCGAAGTGTTGGTTATGTTATCATGAATGTAACGGCGTCTAGCATTTCGTACCATCTGATTGCATCTGTTTCTTAGCAATTTAAAGTTAGACCAGTTCTCTTCTGTATGTAATATCCATCTCCTTCGCACTTTTTCATCTTGCCATGAAAGAAATATTATTTTAAATGTCGCTTCATTTTAATAGACGCCAACAGTAACTCATTTATTTATATTTATTAATAATATAATACGTTTATTAATAATAATATACTACAAAAGGCACTTCGTTCCGAACGGGTGTTCCACGACACACATTTTTTTAATTTAAAAACTACTGCAACCAGATAAAGGTGATTTATAAGTTGAACGGATCATCCGATAAAGGTGGCCGGTGAGAGATTTTCAATCCATTTAGCTCAACTTTCGGCTTCACACTTATAATAACTCCCGGCCACTGAGACCAGTCGTTTCCGTCTAGCTACGGCCCACTTTACGTTACTTCTACGACTGTTACTGCGACTAATTTGACCTGTGACCACACCCTATTGCCACTTCAGTCTACGGTTAATATTGGCAGATGAAAAGTTTCACTTAGACACCTATGTCGATGCCTAATTATTCTCGTCTCGTCAAATTTCTAAACTAAGGTCTCAGTAAAGAGCGTTCGGTGGGGCAGGCCTTTTAGTATGCTCTCAATTTTGTGATGTAAGTGCTGTTAGCCAATTACATACACTACACGCCACCCCAAACGCTTTCTACACAGACCTTAGACATAGGTTACCTAATAATAAATGACTAAACAAATGAAATTCATTGCAATTTAAACACGTGCTCGACGTTGCAGGAAGGATCTCAAACATACATCGTCTGAAAAAAAATGTGAAGCCCGCCAACACGCATTAGGGCAGCGAGGTCGACTCTTACTTGCCCTAAAACCCTCTTCGAAATTTGAGAAGGCCTGTGCCCAAGACTTGAACCTATATAGGTTGTAATTTAAAATTTTTATACAACGGAGTACTCTTATGTTGTAAATAAATATAATTATTTTAATATGGACAGACGCAAGATCCGATTTTTCGATCATCAGATAAAAGTAGGATAAAATCAAATGTATACTTGAGTATATGCTGAAATGAAATTTTAGTGTTTATTAAGGAAGTCGTTACAAATACAGTTAAAGAAGAAATATACCTATATAAAATTATGAAACACTGACACATGAACGTACATCCACTGACAGTACACAGTAGGTTTGATTTGTAAAGGATTAGAAATTTCCAGGTGCCGTTCTACGATAAAGATCTTTTTATATTTACCACTTTTACCATTTCAATATAATACTATATGTAGGAAAACAAATTTATGTTATGTACCCAACGTAGAGAATAAGTAACTGGAGAATAAAATATAAAATTCGAACTAAAAATGTGCTAAGCGATGATAAAATTATTAACTATTCTGCAAATAAAATTCTTACTTAGTTCTCCCTGGTTTAGTGGCACAGGTAGTGGTTTATTCTTGCTAGTTCGTAACCAATCGCGATAGGCGCGCTCCCCCTCTTCACGTTTCCGCCGTTCTTCAATGGCTGCACGTGCCGCACGTCTTTCCGCACGAGTTTTCATAGCTAAATAATTTTTTAAGATAATTTTTAAAATATTTTTTTACCAAAGATTTTTTCTAAAAAATAGATAATAACAGGTATTAGTATCTCACTTTATATCATCGTATCTATAAGCCGTTCTGATCATTATCATTACGGACCATCAAGATCCACTGCTAAACATACGTTTCTCCCATAGATTGTCTTTTAAAAGTATATTTGCCATAGCTACTAAACAGGCGTAGCGTGGCAAATATCCGTCTATGGTTGGCAACCGATGATTTTTCTGATCTATGTTTTTTTAACACTTTTTTTAATTTAAAAAAGGAGTAAGCTCTTTTCTTGAAAGTTCCTAAGTCGTATCGGTCTGGAGAAATTGCTTGTGGTAGTCGATGCCACAAGGAAGTTGTACAAGAAAGAAAACCTCTTGTAAATCGCTCAGTGGTGGACCGCCAATCATCTATATGGTAATGGTGAAACTGAGCGGGTGTAATTAATCCGAACAATTCCTCAGAGTACTCCCCGTGATAGATGCGATAAAATACGCAAAAAGATGCTTCACACCTTCGCATTGCCAGTGAAAGAGAAAGAGCTCAGTCGCCGATTATTTGAACCGCTCAGCGCTGGATGCGATCAAATGGAAGCTCCACTGGGGAGCCTAGAGATGGGAAAGCTATTCCATGTGAGGCCGAACCTGCGCCTTTTAAAGTTAAGTAGTAGTAATAATTGGTTCCATTATTTTGGAGGAGGTGATAGCGATAGGCCTGTAGTTAGACGGATCTGAGCGGTCACCTTTCTTAGGCATCGGGTGCACAAAAGCTGTCTTCCATAAGTTCGGGACTACGCCTAGGAGTACCGGAAAGGACGCGTTAAAATCGGTGCCAACTCCGGCGCACATGTCTTCAGCAAAATAGCTCCATCAGGCCCATTCGACTTGTTGACGTCCAGTGAGAGGAGTGCTTTGCACACCGCGCACTGTGTAAACAGCACATCCTGTATGGAGCGCTCACAACGCGGGATGGTCGGCGGTGTGTTCCCCCCGTCATCTAAAGTCGAGTTGAAGGCAAAAAGAGATCCTAGCAGATCGGCTTTCTCCTTTGCGTCATGGGCCAGTGAGTCGTCCTCCCTGTGCAGAGATGGCAGAAATGGCAAAGATAGCTGACAGAAGTTCCCGTTGGACAGCCTCGGCGAAAGACCAGAATGCACGTGTTCCCGAAGGAAGTCGAACTAATTTCTCGCCAATTCGCCACTCCTGCTTATAGCGTGATGCAATTTTACAAGAGTGACCAAACCATGGCTGAGTTGTGCCTCCGATAGGAACCACAGATGATGGAATAAATAGCTCCATTCCCTGAAGTACCAGCGACAGAACCAGCAACAACGTTGGGATCATCCGGCGAAAAGCAAACCTGCCCCAAGTGTAGAATGCAAAATAGAACGCATACGGGGTGCGTTCTTTTTTCCCAATCGGCCGACCTATAGTGCCAAACACGGCGGAAACCTGCAGAACGCAACTGCGAGGTGGTCTTGGAGAGCCTACTTCGGATGTGTGTCAGCGGGCTGCGCCGGGAGGGGTGCCTTCTCCTCCTACCGCTGCAGCCAAGGTGGAGTCGCGGGGGAAGAGGAGTGTTGGTATAGCGATCGTCTATCCTGTGCAACTCTAACTGTGCCGCACCGCTGTTGCGGTGGTGGAGGGGCCGCGGTGGGAAAGGAGTGTCGGTGTTGCAAGGCGCCGCTCTCCTTACCCTCTGCGGCTAAAATTTGGTTGGCGGCGGAGCCAGGGACCAGATCCGGCGCTGGGATAAGGAAATCAGGTGCTACCGAGCGCTCCGTTTTCCTGGCCTCATGGCCTCCGCGTATCGAACTCGAGGGGCCCGGTTACGCAGATGGAGTTGGAGGCCGTAGAGGAAGGCGTGCCTTGTGTTCCAGGTGCGCCTTGCTTGAAAAGAAGTATAGGGAGTCGGAATCCTACCCGGAGAAGAGGCTGCCGAGGGGCGGCCAGCGCTGGTGGGGCCACGGATGTGTTCGAAAGCGTTCCCGTGGCCTAGTGAATATACGTCGCTGGGGTTTTAGTCGGTGCAAGTCCGACATAATCCGTCCTTCCCCCGCGAGGCGGGTAGCGTAAGCATTTCCCCATGTAAAAAAAAGGTTATGCAATGGTTCAATCATTTCTGCCTAGGCCAAAGTAGCTAAGTCTGTAGTAGTAGTATTTAGGTCAAATTTTTTTGTCCTGAGCTAAACTAGTATATCCTGACACGCGTAGGATAAACTGAAATCGAGTTTGGCTGCTAACATTATATATCCACGGTGATCTGATATAAAATATAAATTTCCTCATAATGGCTTCTGAAGTCGTGACTTTAATATTTTTTATAGAATAAGGGTGACAAACGAGCACACTGTCGACCTAATGGTAAGTGGATTCTGTGGTCCATAGACATCTACATGTATCCTCGATTAAGAATCAAAATGCAGATGCGTTGTCACCCCTGAGGACTAAGATAGAATGGCCCTTTCCAGTAAAAAGGGTTTCCGGTTCTCTACACACACCACACGAAACACATCAGCCTTAAGCTGCTATTTTACGCTGTGCGTTTCTGTGAGGCGCTCGAATTCTTAGATACACAATGCATTAGTACAGACTTCATAAGTTATTATTTGTAAATTATTTTATTCTACTTCTTTAAATCTTTAAGTTTTTTCTTTAAGTTTCTTTAAGTCGGTGAGATAAATCGCTATAAACGCTTAATATAATTTAAAATTAAAAAATGTATACAACTCAAAAACTATTAGTAAGATCCTGATCAAATTTATATGAGACGACATGAGAAGCACCAACTTTCAAATAAAAAAAGAGTTATTGAAATCGGTTCATCTAGAAAAAACAACACACATAAAAAAAGAACATACAGTCTAATTGAGTACCTCCTCCTTTTTGAAGTCGGTAGAAAAAGTAAAACCTTTTTTAAAGTTATAGAATTTAGTCAGACAATATACGAGTGTAAAAGAACTTGAAATATTATATTTATTCACCTTTCATTTCTTCTTCTTTTTTACGGATCCATTCCGTCAATCTTTCCTGCTTCTCCCTCTCCCGTTTCTCCCTTTCGCGCTCCATGTGCTCGTTTTCCCTAAACCGGCGCATTATCTCTTCAGCCCGACGTCGCTCCATTTGAAGGCGTTTGCGCTCTGTCCATTGTCGGAATGACTCTTCACGCTGTTCTGGTGTGGTTACTGGTACCACTTGTCTTTTCATCCTTTCCATACGAAACTTTTCCCGTTTCTAAATTATCATTCAAAACAATTATAGTTAATGGCATTCCCCAGGGAACATGACTCATTATTTTACAGATTAACTCTCTCTCTCTCTCTCTCTCTGTCTGTCTCTCCCTCTCCTCCCCCCTCCCTCCACCAGATTCTGTGATAGAGAAATAAACCAACCTACAATATTATACGAGGCATTCCATCTTAGTCCGCAGGGACGATAACGCATTCGCATATTGATTCTTAATCGAGAACAAATGTAGATGTTTTAGATGTTTGTTGATGGGCCAAATGTATCCACTCACCAACACGTGGACTACGTGCTCGTTTGACACCCTTATTACATAAAAAAATATAAAATGATATTTTACGCTGGTTATTAAACAATGTGCTACATACACTCGTGTAAAAAGTAAAGTTACCAATACAAAAATGAGGTCGAATAGTAACTTGGATAAATAAATCACCTCTTGTTCTTTTCTTTCAAGCCACTGTTTGAACGCCTCCTGCCTCTTTTTCTCATTACGCTCACGTTCTTCCTTCGCCGTTGTCGTCGTAGACAGAGAAGCAACTGAAAGTCGAAATGTATCAGGACCATCTTCTCGATACGTGCGATCAATGCGAGGGGTTTCATCTTCATCGTACTGATTCTCATTCCTGTCTTCAGTCAAACGGCATGATTTCCGCTGAATGCTAGCCGATGAAGTATTGGAAATTCGTCCAGTTAAAAAAGGCGTCGAATTGCTCCTATAAGTACTATGCGGATGTGGAGTTACCTCTTCAACACAGGATGAATCAGTTTGAAGAGATGTTACGGAGTGCGAGGACTCCACTGTCTCTATATAAATAGCTGGATTGACATAACGGGTTTTGCTCTTCCTAGATCCCAAAGACTCGGAGTCACTGTGATATTGAATATTTTCTCCAGCTTCGTTAAAAACATGATTAGATCGTTTCAATTTCGGATCGCATTCCGGTTTGTTTGTTGTACTGTCACCGTAGTTTCCATTATGTACATCTCTCGTCATTGTGTGTTATTTTTAAAAATCGTATTGTATACCAGAAGAGATTCAAAAATGTAATATAAAAATGTAAAGGAAACGTTTAATAAAATTGCAAGAGCTTTTTAAAATACGTTTGTTAATAACGTTACCGAAAAATGATTGCGTCAAAGTATCAATTATTTAAAAAAATATTATTCACGAAGTCAATACAGCCAGCATTCTGGCCACGATGAATACTATACTCTCCCTCCTATAATGTATGCTTTTAGATATTTATATTTTAATGTATTAATTAGTAATTATCTAATTTATAATTCGAAGACTAAAATAATGTAATAACTTTCACCTAACAGATTCCGAAGTAGGTGGTAAGAGATAGTTATGTATCGAAGAATTCAAGCACGTAAAAAGAGGCTCCATTATGTGCAAATCATTATTATTTTTTATTTTAAATAGGCTAAGCAATATAACAAGCTCAAGGTTACAACTACAGTGTCGCTAAAATAGTTACAATAAAAACTGCTCCTAATTTTTCCATGACAAGAGAATTTTTTTCTTTAAATTTAAATGGGACCAACTTTAAAGCGGTAATGCTTTAAAGTTGGTTGGAATTTAATAAAAAACATACGGGAGTGTCGTGGAACACTTGGTTGGAACGAAGTTGAACACTTGGTTATCGTAGTATATTGTTATTGATTAACGTATTATATTATTGATTAACAAATACCTACCAATAAATGAATTACTGGCGTCTATAAAAATGAAGCGTCATTTAAAATAATATTTCTTTCATGGCAAGATAAAAAAGTGCGAGGGAGTTGGATATTATTTCATATCGCTCGTTTTATTGGAAGGGCTTCGTGACAGAAAAATCTTACACTTTTTCTCGCCTAGTCCTCATCCGTCATAAGTGCGTGCGATAAGTAACATCGTTCTAAAAATAATCTTTTAAATCGGTTTTGTCATTTCGGAGATATCGGTAAACATATATAAAAAAAACATACGTGTCGAATATAGAAAGTAAAACTCCTTTTTCAAGTCGGTTAGAATCAAAAAATTAAATTTTTATGTTTTTTTTTAAACTGCAGAATCTATTTAAATAAAAACATAATCAGGTTTTTATCTGCCATCTGCGGTATTTATACAATGCTTAATAAACGTATATTTTTTGGGATTTTGTTGTAATATCCTGGGGGGCGCGGGTTCGAATGACGGCTCCGTGGCGCAGTGGCTTAGCAATGAGTTGCTGCGCTGGGGGGCGCGGGTTCGAATCCCGCACGGAACAAGTATTTGTATGGCCTACAAATGATTGTTCCGGGTCTGGATGTTTGTCCTTGTGAAATTTGTGTTTGTAAACTGCCTCCACGATACAGGAGTAAATCCTAGTGTGGGGGTAACGTTTTTTTTTAAAAAAAAAAAAAAAATAGCGTATACATTGCCCCATAGACTTAGAATATACTGGCGTATAGACCACCTGACAGCCCGAAAACGCGTGACCAATTTTGATTTGTTATTGTGTGCGTTAGCTAGTGATGTATATTTTACTTACAAGGACTATCGAAACAGATTGTCAAGGAAGCGGTAAAAGGATTTAAAAGAAGTGTTTAGTGCATGAAGTTGAATAACTTCAAAAATTAACAGAATTTTACCACAATAGTTCTAAAATAATTAAAAAGTATTCATATAACATGTTCCTGAACCGGAAGAAGCTGAACCTACCTGCCTTTTGTTGGATTTCAATTAAAATGTATAAAATCCCAGGTGAATTTACCGATAAACTTAAAAAACTCCCCAATAATCAGATCGGAAAGTTGTATTTTCGAGCTTTGGGGAAAAATATTTACTGCCGTGGGTAGTTTCCCCGGAATTTCTTTTTTAACATATTGTTAATATAAATAGGTAGATACTTAACTAAGTATATACTTATTTATATTTTATAAAATGTTTTGATGGGGAAATAAACACGGAGACACAGAGTACATAACGGCTGCTTTATTTTTCATATAAGTATTACTTGTGATAATTATAAGCATTTACTAATTAATAATTAAATACATTATAGAACTTTATTTAAACATTCAAATTAATTATAAATGTAAACTTAATAATTCAAGGAAGGAAACTTATAGGAATCAGTTAAATAAGATTGCTCTGCTTAAAGACCAATATGTTTATGAGGCTTCATCATGCTTCATGTTTATATTCTTTCATCTGTCCCTGAAAAGTATAAAGTAATAATAAACTTATTATCGTTTTAGCTGCATGAATTTTAAAACATAATGATCTTAACACAGTAAGGTGGACTAAGTATCTGAGGGTACAAATGCACTCTCTATTACTCAATCTCGGTATGTTAAGAAAATGGTCACTCATTCATGGACTGACTGCGGCAAGTGCAACTAACTTAATCTCGCAGATCTATTGATCTGCGCAGCTATTACTTACCCACGAGTTCCTCTTCTCTACGACTAACGCTGTAGGCGATGAACCAAGCTATTTAAGCCCTCGGCACAATGTCGTCAGCCATCAAGCATGAATCGAACATCAACCGTTGCGAGTATGAAATACTATGGAATTTATACTATTCATACTATGTATCATTACTAAATATCTATACCTAACTACGCTAAAAGTTTTATCATTAGGGGTGGGGTTCGAGATAATTAAAAACTGCCGAGTGAATTACCCAAATTGACACTTTAATGATGAGAGTAACAAAGAAACGACCCCCAGTCCCCGGCGGCCCTGCTATTCCTGGCTACGAAGGCAACCATGCTAACGGTGGGGCAGGGGGTACTAAGAATCTCCAGTGGAGGTTTGGTTGCCACCTAAGACGACTCGACCTAGCAACATACAACGCACGTACCCTGAGGACTGACGAGAAGATCGTGGAGCTGGAAGAAGATATAGACAAGTTAAGCTGGCATATTATAGGATTATCTAAAGTCCGAAGAGAGGGGGAGGACACGGTAATCCTCGAATCCGGCAACTTGCTCTATCACCGGGAGGCCGACCATCTGTCCCAAGGAGGTGTCGGATTCATCGTCCACAAGTCTCTCGTTAACAACGTTGTAAAGATTAAGAGTGTGTCGATGAGAGTTGCGTACCTTATACTCAGAGTCACCAAACGGTATTCGCTGAAGGTCATACAGGTTTACGCACCAACCTCGGCACATCCCGATGAGGAGGTGGAGGAAATGTATGAGGATATCTCTAGAGCCACGCATTCCTCCAAAACCCACTATACGGTGTTAATGGGAGACTTCAATGCAAAACTAGGCACAAGAGAGAACGGTGAGCTGAAAGTAGGGAAATTTGGAATAGAGCAACGGAACCCAAGGGGCCAGCAGCTGGTCGACTTTATGGAGAAAGAGGGACTCTTTATGATGAACACTTTCTTCCAGAAGCGGCCACAAAGGAAGTGGACCTGGTCGAGCCCCGACGGTTCGACAAAAAATGAGATCGACTTCATTATGACGACCAGACGACAACTGTTCAGTGATGTCTCCGTGATCGCGAGAGTGAAAACTGGTAGCGATCACCGAATGGTTAGAGGCATACTGAACCTAAACGTTAAATTGGAGAGGTCTCGTCTAATGAAGTTAGCGCTACATCCATCTCGTGCTCTGTTCCAAAGTCCCGAATCCTTTCAGCTCTCGTTACAAAACCGTTTTCAGTGCCTAGAAGACTGCAATGAAGTGGACGATATGAATGACACGCTCGTGGAAACTGTCCATGCGGTCGGAGCTAAGTTCTGCAAGACCCGCCGCAGAAGAACACAAAAACTCTCCGATCACACTCTCAACCTCATGGCTGTTAGACGGGAGATGAAGCTACATTCTTCAACAGATTTGACAGCATACAGGCAACTGAAAAGACAGATCTCCAAATGCATGCGGCGGGACTTACGCAACTTCAATACAGCTTGTATTGAAGAAGCGATCGAGCGGAACCAAGGAACCAAAGTCTTTGCCAGAGATCTGTCTGCCAGAAAGAGCCAACTGTCGAAGCTGAAGACCGAGTGTGGCAGCATCGTTTCCAGGGCACCTGAGATTTTGAGTGAGATTGAGAGGTTCTATGGGTAGCTTGACACGTCATCGTTGGAGCCACACGCAAGTGTGAGTAACGATCCAAGAGCCAGTCTTATTCGACACTATTCCGAAGATATCCCGGACGTCAGTCTGAGCTAGATTAGAATGGCTCTCCGGCACCTTAAAAACGGCAAGGCCCCAGGTGAGGATGGAATTACAGCGGAGCTTCTGAAAGCAGGTGGAAGACCGGTACTTGAAGTCCTTCAGAAGCTCTTTAATTCCGTCCTCCATGGTGGCATTACACCGGAGGCGTGGAGCAGAAGTGCGGTGGTCTTGTTCTTCAAAAAAGGTGACAACGCTCTCTTGAAGAATTACAGACCGATTTCCCTTCTGAGCCGCGTCTACGTGCTGTTTTCGATAGTCATTACGAATCGCCTCGCTCGCAGATTTGACGACTTCCAGCCTCCCGAACAAGCCGGTTTCCGAAAGGGCTTTAGCACCATAGACCACATACATACATACCACTCGGCAAATTGTATAGAAGTCCGAAAAGTACAATTTGCCACTATGTCTGGCGTATGTGGACTATGAGAAAGCCTTTGATTCCATCGAAATTTGGGCGGTGCTGCAGTCTCTTCAGCGGTGCCAAGTTGACTATCGGTATATCGAAGTGCTGAAGTGTTTGTACAGTAGAGCTACGATGGCTATCCGAGTACAGAACCAGAGTACGAAACCTATCCAATTGCAGAGAGGTGTAAGACAGGGTGACGTTATCTTCACCGCTGCATTGGGAGACGTTGTCAAGCTTCTGGACTGGAAAGGATACGGTATTAACATCAATGACGAGTACATCACTCACCTTGATTTGCCGACGATATAATCCTTATGGCAAAATCGCTGGAGGACCTAAGCACCATGCTCAATGACCTCAATAGTGTCTCCCAACGAATAGGTCTTAGGATGAACATGGACAAAACAAAGATCATGTTTAAT